ATTTCCACCGTCTTCAGGGGCTTGAGTTGTGGGGCACCGAGATTGGTCATGTCGCAGACTATTGCATACACGGCAGAAGCCATGTAATTTCTCATAACGTAACGCCACTTCTGTTTCTTCTCCACCATGAAACTCCACGGTGCTAGAAAAAATTAATGGTTGGAAAGCATCCATTTCCACCCTAACACGACCTTCATCGACATCAACGTCTCCTTGAACTTTCCCCAAAGCTGCCCCAATACTTCTGAAAGTTGGTTCCGCCCAGAAATGAAGTGGTACTCCCATAACCCGAACCCAAAAAGTTATCTTGGAAGGATAATTAGGATCCATCACCGGTTCCCACCTAACAATAGACAGCATCCAAGAGTCGAAATGGAAAGGCTCCATTTTTAACACTTCAATGATATCTTCTTCATTATCAAAATCAAATTGGAACCTTCCCAAACCTAGGTCGGCCGCAATTACCCTTTCCTCTACTTGCCAAATCTTGGGGAGGCGTGAGAGAAGGAGCTTCATCTCTTGTCTCTGCGGATTCATGCATCTCCCAATGAGAGTTCTCGCATAGCCAGAGATGAGTGCTGAGTTATCAAACTTCGGCACCGTAATCTTGAGACCCTTTGTTGGTACCTCCACCTTCTTTCCTCCGGACTTAACGTACCATTGACCTTGAGACATGATAGAAACCGTAAATATAAGGCCAAAGAAATGGTTTGAAATACAATAAAAATGACTGGGATGAAGAAGATCCTGAAATGTGAGCATGATATATATACTGTGAACTTTCCAAGTGCTAGTAGTGTCCTTAAAAAATCTGAAAGATATGATAATGATAGCCAAGAAAATCGTTTGGCAATCCCATTTATGGTCCATTATACCAAAATATCTTATGTGTATCCATTCATTAAACCAAAATCGGATGAAAATCCTAGATTGAAATTCGAAATGATCTTGAATAGATAACTTTCCATTCCAATAACTCACAATCTGTAAAATCCAAGCAAAGTACCTTGATAGATGAATCCTCAGAATCGATTTCCCCAAAATAACTCTCTCTCTGTATCTCTGAAGGAAAAATTGAGATACAAGAGCCGTGCCAGAAATCCTTCGAAGATTTATTTCCTGTAGAAAACTCATATCTCTCCACGCTTTGATGTCGATATCCCTCCATAATCCTCGAAATTGAATGCGAAATGACCCCTTTTCTCTCAACCCAATCGGGTATACACTTGTGGATCTCAATTGAGATGGAAACCCAATCTTATGAATCTCAAACGAGATTCTCCGAAGCACCCATATCATCATCCTTGAAGCCCTAGTTTGAAGTCGCCGTTTTCATCGAAAGAATTTTTTCTCTGAGTAGCCCAAAACCTTTTTAATCCAAGAATATATATTAATCAATTTTACAAATAAACATTGATTAGTCTTCAAATGAGGATTAGAAAGGATGTAAGTATAAGAAGACAAAAAGCATTTTATACAAATATAAACCAAATACTTGTAAATATGAACTTCCCTCGATTTTATATCAAATAAATATGCTTAAGTCATGTTTTTTATTTTATTTTAAAAGACACGGCTCTACTCTTCAACACGTTGGGCTAAAGTTGACTTTGGCTGAGTACCTGTTCTTACCTGTTAATTGTTTTACCTAAGAAAAATAAATTAGATGTGAAAATGCAACACACTAAAGTGTACTTATAATTAACAAAATGTTTGAAATAGGCATAGCTTACATTATTACATAAATTAAAACTAAAAGTGAAAGTAACACTACACGTCAAAGAAAACACAAGTCAAACAATCCGGCTCACCATTCAATTCGAATGGAATGTAGAAGCCGTATATCATTTTGCGTATTCGTTATTGGGCCACTTTAGTTGTAAATTTATTGTTTTCTTTTGAAATCATTGTTTCAGACTTCCACTAGACCTTGTCTTACTGAATACTAGATTTTGACCCGCGCTTGAAAGCGCGGAAATTTTTTATGATTAAAAATTTATATACTTGGGTTTTGTCTTAATTTAAAGAATATTTTGATATAAAATCAGTTCACCAAAATTTGTGGTGATGATTGTTTTTCATTAGTTTTAAGTTTCAGTTTTTATTTTAGATTTTGGTTTTTGGTTTTTAGTTTTTAAGTTTCTACTTTTCATTTTCAGTTTTTGGTTTGAGTTTTTAATTTTAAAACCCGCCGAGTTAGTTTGAACTAATATTACCAACAAACAAATCTCAAATAATCGAACATCTAATTTAAAACTGAAAAGATGATAACAAATTTTAAAAAAAAATTGAAATAGTTTATTTTGTAAATAAAAAAGCAAAAAAATATAACATGTGTTTTCAGCTTTTGGTTTTAGATTTTAGTTTTTAGATTTGGTTTTTGGTTTTGCTTTACATTTTTTTAATCAGTAAATTATTTAAGAAAAATAAAACAATAAATTATTTAAAAGTTACAACTGAAATTTATCAAAACAAAGTGATTGTTATTTAAAATAAAAAAATATATTAACATGTTGAATATACTAATATATAGAAATATCATCATATATATCTTTATAATCTCATTTCTCTCATATCGTAAGTAGGGTTAGGCATTTTCCGTCAAATTTAATTCGATTCATTATTTATTTCGAGTTAGTCCAAAAGTTCTAAATATTTGTAAATTTTCTAAGCAAAACAAATATTAAAATTCAATATTCGTCAAAAACGAAGCAAATTTCAAATACTAAAATTTTGGAAAATAGATATTCAATTCGATCCGACAATATATAATACATGTATATCTTAATTATATTTAAAGTTTTAAATATATAAATTTTATAATTATTATTCTAACGTATGATTTGACAAATTATATTCACATTATTATTTATATAAAAATATTACATAAAAGGAAGAGAAAAAAATTATGACAATTATAATTTTTTTCTTAAGTTTTGCGTTGTTATAATTGTTAACTAAGTTTAATAAATTTACAAAGTATATAGATTCACTACTTTTTTAATTTATATATTTTATATTATGCAAAAAATTATTTTACAAAACAAATTGTAGCAAATTTTTAAAATTATTTGTATTAATTCAAAAAGATGAGATATCCGTAAGTGTTCGTAAATATTCACAAATATCTATTGTTTATCTGTTTTTTTGAATATTCATATTTTCTCGAAATAAAACAAATCGAAAAATTAAATATTCGTGACATGCGAAATAAATTACAAATATCTTCCAAACCCCTGATCCGTGTCCATGCCTAATCATAAGGACTTCGGTCCTTGGACACATCACTTTCATAAGCTAAGCTGTATCTGTATATTAAACTTCAAACCATGATTGACGCCACTATAGACGTTATCAACTTATAATTGCAAAATTGCGTAACTTGATTTTGGTAGATAATCTACTCCGATTTTTTAAAAAGGGTAACTAATTTTAGGGATACACAACCATTAGAAGCTGTACACTGACAAACTTAACCATTTTTGTTGTCACCGACATAATTAGTTGAAAATAGCGTCATGTCAAAGTCAATATTTCAACCACCATGCTTCTTCCATGTGAGAACGGGTACTAGTGTTCGACCAAATTTGAGTATGGATTAAGACTTCATTCGCATAATGGTAAAACGTGCAAAAAATATCTGCATGTCGTATAGTACATTCACTGTTTACGTTAATTCACTTTACCAAAAATAAAACAAAACCAGTGTATCCATAATTTCCACAAATTTTAGTATTTTATGCTTTCAGTTCATCACAGTTCTATTGTTAATGCATATGGTTCTCTAACAGACTTTCAAAATGTCATATGAAAAATTGTAATGCTAAATATAAAATATTTATATATACACGTGGCTCGTATTTAGCAGTCCACGTCCATCCATCACAATTTTCATTTTTTTCTAAAAACAGTTTGCAACGTATCTCTTTTCTTTATATAAATAAAAAAAGAGCATTAACAACGTATCTCTTGACCATCTCCTATCATTGTCGATATGTTTATGAATAAGAATAGGTACGCTTTCTTTTTAAAGCAAAAATCATTCGGTCTATCGCACATGAAATGTTTTAAAGGGTAACTTGTTCGCTAATTTATATTTTTATGTTGCCATGAATACTTCACGGCATATTTTGTTTACCAACATATATATACTTTAAGTTATAAGTGCTCGATAGAGATCAAAAAAGTATGATGATGCAAGAAAAGATATGATGCTTTGTAAGATAACAATATAACTTGAAAGTAACAAAGTTTATCATGCAAGCGTCAAATTAAAAAAATAGTAGATTTCATGCAAAGTGGACCAAAAATAAATTTGTACTATTAAATTTTCACGAATTATGTAGTGAGCTTTATTTTTTTTTATAAACTTGGAGATATCTTAGACATATGGAAAAATTCAGATTAATTCTCAAATGAAGATAAAATTCACGAATAGATCCTTTTTCCAGATATTTAAACGAGGTCGAAAACAAAATATTTACCTAGTCGCATGTATCTAGTGTCGTAGAATTGCTTGTCGCAAATATAATGGCTCTATATTGCATGTCTCAAACACTCAAACCCGCATAATTTATTAGTTGTAAACTATTGTCCAAATCGTGTCTCCATATGATGACTTTCTGACATTTAAAATGATCAATATTTCTATACTTTAAAAGAAGAAAAAACTTGTAATGTTACAGTAACACAATCACATTGACTAATTTTGAGTGATAGTTTCCAACTCATTTTGGCATATTTTCTTTGATCCACCTCTTCTTATAGTGACATTCACCTCTCCTTTATCTTTACGCGGTTCAATATCCTTTTTGTGATTTTTGTTTTACTTTATACAAAGTAAACACTTAAAATTGAAGTAAAATTAATTAACATATTATGGTGAAGACCAAGAAGCAGTTGCAGGGACCAGGGTTGATTTATTACAGCTAAAACTTTGTCCGAATCCTTCTTCCTATTTATACCAAACTTTCTTCTTCCTCAATTTCATCACACCAAACTTCCACATTGACAGAAAATACACATTAGCTTCTCTTGGCTTCTTTTTTTTCTCCCTTTGCATGTTATAGTTGAGTTGCTTCATCATGGGAGTTTTAGTAATCTCATCTCTCCTGCTACATGTCCTAGCATTTTCTGTCTGCGTTCAAGGCTTCTACCATCGTGGCAGTCATCATCCCGGCGGCCACGGGGGACCTTGGATCAACGCTCATGCCACTTTCTACGGCGGTGGTGATGCTTCCGGCACCATGGGTACCTTAATATCTTATTTTCACCTGCATCACTCTAATTTAACTGACAAAAGGGTAATCTCATGTTATCAGAGCTAGCTAGGATCCACTCGTAACATGCAAACGGTTTCAACGGCTACAAAAATATATTACACAAACAGAGCATTGAGAAATCGACTCTTTGACGTCATATGCATGTAACAATATTTTGTACACATGTTACAATTTATATTCTTTAAACTATTTTTCTAACAAAAACGTGTACATTAATTGTCATAAGAACTTTAACAAAACATAAACACAAACTCCGGACGTAAGCAAAATAAAAACCTTACAAATGTTTGTCTGACTTTAAGTTTGCGTTTACACTCAGTAAAATATGGATTTGAAAAACCACGAGACACTATGTGGTTTATAACCATTTGCTTAATTAATGACCAAACTAGGTGGAGCATGTGGGTACGGGAATCTGTATGGCCAAGGTTACGGAACAGAGACGGCAGCGCTGAGCACGGCGTTATTCGACAATGGACTTAGCTGTGGTGCTTGTTTCGAGCTGAAATGTGTCAACGATCCTCAGTGGTGCATACAAGGCCGGTCCATTGTGGTCACTGCCACTAACTTTTGTCCTCCTGGTGGCGCATGCGATCCTCCCAACCACCATTTCGATCTTTCTCAACCCATCTACGAGCATATCGCTCTTTACAAGTCCGGTATCATTCCAGTTATGTACAGAAGGTACTAATTTATTAACCCCTCGCAATGGGGTTATTTAATGTCATGAAATTTCATAGTAGTACTCAACTATATATATGTAGTTTGTGAAATGTAAAACACGAACGTAGTGCTCTAAAAATTGGTTTAGACGGACACTTAAACACTTTTTTAATTAGACATCCATTTAAATGGTAAATTGATTACAACCGAAATGCTTTTTAAAATGATTTGTCTAAAAAGTCGGTTTAGACGTTGAATAATCTTTTCAATTATCCTGTAACGATTTTTTGAACAACGTAAAAATATTCATATCCATAGAATTTAGACTTATAAATACGCATTCACTACATTTGGACCAGTTGATAAATGTAATATAAATTGGGTATCAACTTATTAATATACCTAATTAACTTTGTGGTGCCTCTATAATAATTGTTTTTATAGGGTTCGGTGCAGAAGAAGGGGCGGGATAAGGTTCACGATCAACGGTCACTCATACTTTAACTTGGTGCTGGTCACAAACGTAGGTGGAGCCGGGGACGTACACTCGGTGTCGATGAGAGGGTCACGTTCAAGATGGCAATTAATGTCAAGAAACTGGGGGCAAAACTGGCAAAGCAATTCTTATTTCAACGGTCAAAGTCTGTCGTTTGTTGTGACCACAAGTGATCGTCGAAGTGTTGTATCGTACAATGTTGCTCCTCCTAGTTGGTCCTTTGGCCAGACCTACACCGGAGGGCAGTTTCGTTATTAACTTGTAAAATCATTAAATGATTTATATTACACTGGTTTGGTTTACTTTGTTTTTTTCTTTTTTGTAATTCCAGTTCCAAGTTGGTGACTTTTTTTGAGGTAACCAATTGAAATTTGGACTGATAGTGATACGAGGCTAAATGTATGTGAACGAGAGAGAAGTATATAATTCTCGTTTTTTATATATAAGAAGTGATTTTTCTTATCAAAATAAATGAACGTGTTACTAATTTTGGTTGCCTTTCATGTTCTTAAGATGTGTTTTAAAAGTGGTTTCATTTTATTATTAAATGGAAAATTGCAAACAATACATTAATTTAACTGAAAAGTCATACTACTATCTAATGTCCAAATATATTTTTAAGACTCTCAAAATTAATCAGTCGTGCTTAAATTTTTGATTTATCTAAATCGCTAGTTAATTCCTTACGATTGGCCGACATTTCTTCTAATCCATCAAAAACGCTGAAAAATGTTACTATAAAGATAAAAAAATTGTGCACAAAAAAATGATAACAGATTTGATATATTTTTTGTTTCATAAATTAAGACTATATATTAAAGTAGAATTATTTTATTTAAGAACTTTTAGTACAACTTTTTCTTTATAGAGTGTGAAAACTCAAAAACTACAGTTGTGGAACAGTGGAAGTGCTAAATGAAGTCTAATGGTGCTTTAAAACGTTTCCTTGAAAACTCTAGGCGTTCTTATAAAGATTCAGCATGAATTATATGAATTTATCTATGATTCAACATGTATTATATGAATTCTTATGATTCTATAAAAACAGTTTAAGCATGTCTTGGTTGTAGTGGGACTTATTCGAATCTTAAAGGATAATATTATGATTTTTTCTTCTTGAATCATGTTTTTGCCTCTATGAGTTTAAGCACTACTTGTGTTGCAATTCCTTGAATAATGATTAGAGGTTGCATATGCATTACAAAAATACACACACATACACGTTACATATGATTTGCAGTAAAACCTCTATAAATTAATAATGTTGGGACTTTGAAATTTTATTAATTTATAGAGATATTAATTTACAAAAGTTTCCTTATTTAGATTTTTTTTTCTATTTTTCCATTTTTATTTTTAAAATAAAAAATATATTTGATTTTAACGTATGTATTTTTAGAATTTTGACTTTTATATTCTTTTATTATCTTATTTAGTGTATATTTTTATGTTTCATAGAATTGTTACGTGGTTTTTGATATAATTTCACTAAATATTATCAAAATATAATGAAATGTTAAAAAAAAATAAAAGTATTTTTACTGTAAATATAAATCCAACAATATAATGTTAGATTCTACTTATATAAAATTATTTATAGATAGATTATTAATTTATTATCTTATTATTTTATCGATTTGTGTAATATCTTACACCGGTCCAAATTGGGACCGATAAAATTTATTAATTTATAGAGATTATTAATTTATTGAGTATTAATTTATAGAGGTTCTACTGTATTTGGTCTTATACCGTGTCGTGCTACCATACAAAATAAAGAAACATCCGCTTAGGGCAAGTAAAAGAAAATTAAAGATCAAGTGCATCATCTACAGGCATTATATACTTATCAGAACTTGAATTATAAGTAAGGTTTAAAACATGGGCTTAATGAAGGTATGATAAGTAATACACAAATCTAGAATTGTAAATTGTAACATTAATTAGAGTAATTAGATTATTGGAGATTATAGTTTGAATGCATTTTTAAAATAGTAAAATTTATTTTTGTTGGATTATGGCATAGAAACATTGAGTAATTTAGTTATTTTTATCTTAAAATTTTAGTTATACAATTTAATTATATAAACTTGGTTAAAATTAAAACATAAAATAAGTCTTGTTATATGTAATTATATTTTTCTTTTAGTATATTTTGTTTAATATGTTTCTTCTCTGTTTTATTATGTATTTTTGAAGAGATATTTATCCACATACATTTATACATATATAAGGAAATGGTATATTTTAGAAAGAGTGGGGAGAAGAATAAAAGGTGACAAATATTCAAACGAGTTTTTTGAAAACATGATGTAAGAGGACTGGAACTGTTCTTAACAGAGCAACTATTTTCACATATTTTCTCATCTCTCCTCAGGTTTCCATTTTTGGCAATCAAAAAGATTGCATACGATAACAAAACCATCACCGGATCCAAACATCACATGCTTTATCTCCATGTATATATTATCTGTGTGTGTGAATGTATGAGACCAAGGAAAGAGCTAGATGGATTTTTCTTGTTTCAAGAATACCCTTTTCATCTTCATTCAGAGGATCATTTAATGGCTTTGGAGAAAACAATGCAGTGGAGAGTTCTCTGATAAAAGAAGCATGTTGAAGGAGAGTAATGAACTCAAGAAGAAGCAGAGAGGTTCTAGGGTTTGTAATAGAGGACATTGGAGAATCTCTGAGGATTCTCAGCTCATGGACCTTGTTGCCCTTTATGGTCCTAAAAACTGGAACTACATTGTAGAGAAGATGCAAGGAAGAAGAGGTTAAAAAAGAGATATTTCCTCTGCTATTTCCGGAGAAAGTGAACTAAAAATGTGTGTTTCTTCTTGATTTGCTAAAGGCAAGAGTTGCAGATTGAGGTGGTTTAACAAGCTAGATTCAAGAATCAACAAAAGAGCTTTCAGCGTTGAGGAAGAAGAGAGGCTACTTGCAGCTCACAGAGCATTTGGTAACAAATGGACTATGATTGCTAAGCTTTTCGATGGAAGAAGAGACAATGCTTTAAAGAATCACTGGCATGCATGTGCTCATGGCAAGAAAGTTGAGGCAGCAATCAATGAGTCTTCCAATAATCCTACTTCAGATCACAAAGCTTCACTCTCCCTCCTGGTAAGTATCGTCTTCTTACTCTATCTAGTATACATTCAATGTGGTTTCCATTATCATCAGAGTTAATATGGATCCAATTATCAGAGTCCCTAGCTTTTGTAAGCCTTTAACATGACAAGCTTAGAAATCAAGTGTCTTCTATTCTCTTTCTCCATGTTCTCTTTTTATTAACCAAATGTTGAATAACATATTACAAAATGAAACACTCACCACATATGAGTTTTAGACCATGAATTGAATTATAAGAATGGAGACGTTAACCAACAGCATTCTGAGATGTGCTTCTTGGAGTTCCTCCATTGTAAGGAGCCTCGTGGTCTTCAAATGTTCTCCTTTTGAGTAGGAATCAATATCTTCAAGGTTCACTTGATTCAACGTGAATTGGTTTCCCACAGCCTTAATTAAGAAATCTAATCTTCCAATGTAATCCTTCATTCTACACACAAAATCTGTGTGATCTCTTTCCTACAACGTACCAAACAAACAATTGCAATTGAATTTTTGGACCAAGTAAACAAGGATCATACCAACCCAGTACTGTGGCACTCTGGAAGGCAGTTTAAGGTAAGCCATGTTTCGCACATTGTAATCCATAGAAACACGATGTATCCATCTACTCCTAATTATTAATTGACTGAGCATTTCCACCAAACTTACGGTCACCAAAAACATATATTTTTTATAGTCGATGAAGAATATAAGAAAGAGGTAACTCTATCTAACACCACGCTTTCACACACATTGTAGCTGGAAACCATCATTAACACCCTTCACCATAAAACGAACCACTCCACGCCATTACAGAACGAGGGTAAGGCTGTACTTTAGGAACATTGTCCTTGTTGCAAATCAAGCTCACAAAGAGACTACTCTCGTCAACAATCACCGTTCCACCTCCAGTGAATCTTTCGGTTACATGTATATTAGGTTCTTTACAAGTTTACAACATGTTCAAGCTCCAAGAAGCTGAGAAGACTTCCTGTATTGAGAGATTCTCCGAGTTTAACATTTTGAGCATTAAGGTACGAGGAGGAAAGGATGCGGATCTTGTCTTTAGTCTTTACCCTGACATTCCCAAGACAAATCTGTTAAAATTCGATTTCTTTCTTCTTTGTTTTCATTCAATGATCTGATCATAGCCGAACAATTCTCTAGATAAGACGCTTCTTTGAAAGCCATCTCTGTTTTCATCGAACTTGCTTCACTTCCTCCAAGCTGACTTCGTTTCTTTAGAACAAACTTGAAACCTCCTTGGAACTCTAGTGTTCTTGAAGCTCATCGCTTTCTTGGTCGGGAGAATTAGTCCTAAACTTCTCATAACCATCTATACGTCTTCTCTACTAAGATAATCCTCTTCGTTTTCTTCTTGCTGTTCTGTGTTTGTGATCATACTCTGATCTTGGTTCCTCACACGTTGATGGTGTTGAAGAAGAGGAAATAATATGGATAAAAAGATGCGAGCAGAAGAAACCCGATCAGGAACAAGTTAAAGAGAGCTAATAAAGTGGGAGAAGAAGACTGTTTGCATTCAGACAAGAAACTCTTCTCCATGGTTGTGTATCAATGAATGAATGAATGAGAGGATTCAGAAACAAGTGTCTTAGAGGTGATGTTGAAGATATAGAATTTGCTTGTATGGATGGATGAAACACATATTATATATACTAGGGCAAAAACCCGCCCTACGGGCGGGTATACAAATTATATATATATATATTAACTGTAAAATATATTTTAAAAGGTATAGTTTACTTTAAAATTTTAAGGTTAAATTAAACTAAATATATATTATTATTGTTGGAATAATAAATTTGTTTAACTTTAAATAGATATGATGCAATTTTCACTATTTAACATTTTTCAATGTTTATTATATTTATTATAAACAGTGAGTAAAATATATTAATTTACTTGAAATTGGGGAGTTCAAATTTATTAATATAATAGAAAGTATATAGTTACTTTTTGTTATTTTGTTATCAATATATTAGTACAATTAAATTTATTAATTATAATATTTTAAGTAAATTATTGGGAATTTTTCTGGCTTATAACAAAAAAAAACACAATTGATGTTTTGTTATTATATATATTATAAAATAATAAATAATATTTAATATTCATTACAAACCAAATTATATGTTGGAATACAATATTTTTACATTATTAATTTAAATTATTAAAATGATGGGATATACATATAAAATCTATATTATTATTTTTTTAATTTATAAAAAAAATTATATAATATAATTTAAATTATTAATACTATTTTCTATATATGATCAAATTTAAGATTAAAAATGCTATTTGAATTTAATATATATGACTATAGTACCAAAATTATTCAAATTATTACTTATTATGAAATTACTTTGAATTTTATGCAAATGGTTATAACTGAGGTTGATTAAAAATTTTCACTGATTATTAAATAGTTTGTGAACTATTAGGTGTTGTATTAAAGTATATGGTTTAGATAATTAATGAATATACGCTAAACTTAAAAACTTTAAAAAAATAAAGATGGTGTGTCTATTTGTGGTGTTTTAATTAATTACTAGATTTTGACCCGCGCAACCGCGCGGGTGTTTGTTTTCACTTTTTTTTTCTTTTTCACTTGTAAATTGGTATATATTATAGTAATCACATATTTGCGATATGCAATACCGGCCCTGAGGGGAAGCATTACAAGCAACCGCTTCCGGCCTTCAAAAAATACTTGAAAAATTCAGCCTTTTTATAAGAAAATTATTATAGTAGTACATAAACAATCTTATAAAAATGGCCAATTTTTTGAAAATTGCTTTGGGTCTTTCCCATGTCAGGACCGGTATGTATAATAATTTTTTTTCAAACATAATAATATTATATAATAAATGTTTTAATCAAATAGATTGTTTCAAATTTTCTATATTATACATGTTTTTTAAACATGTGTTTGTTTCTTCTTCTATATTTTATTGTTTGTTAGATTAGTATTTTATTTTTAGATAAAGTAATATAAATAGAGCTTGATTAAATATTAGTATATTTTAATTTGCAAAGATAATATAAACTTCGAAGAAATTTTTGCTAAAAACTAAACTTATAGCTTCATAAATTAATATTATAAAGAATTTTATTAAAAAGGATGTTTTAAACTATTTCTTTTTTTAAAACAATATAATTTTAAAAATTTACATCGAAATAAATTTATCTATTATATATAGCGTGTAAATTTTGTTAGGGTATATAAATATTCCATTTTACTAATCTGTGATTTTTGTTAATATATTGTGGATGAATTTAACTATTATTGACATATTTTCTTATAAATAATAGAAGATTGCTACACTTATATATATTGACATATTTTACGTGACTAAGTTGGAAGGTGTAGGGTAATTTACCAAAACCAAATTGTTAAGCGTATCTTTGTTATTATAGATATGATTTTTCATAAGATATATTAATGATAAGATTATTAGAGAGTTAATGTAACATAAATTTCTAGTAATAGTCCATTTTTTTAAAAAATCACACACGAAGTCAAGTCATGACTTCTGTTTTAATATATAAGATGTGGTCAAATGAAAAGAAAGAAATCTCAACTCTATACGATAAAAACAAAGAATTATGAAAAGAGAACACAAAGAATCATATTATATTTAAAAGTAACCTAAGTTAACAATTGCTAAATAAAATTTTACGATTAAGAAAGTATCCATTTCTAACAAACATATGAGATATATGTCGAACTTCATAAAATAGTGGTAAGGAGTTTCCTCGACCACCACGACTCCCGCTAACCATGGTCCATTATATTTGTTGGAACTTTTGAGTTGGTTTTACTGCTCTTCTTACTCGAGTCCTTTGAGAAGGAGCACCATCTCAAATCTAAGACAGCAAAACTAATAGCAAAAATATTTTCTTTAACTTCATAAACAATGAACCAGATTCTTTAACTAATGAATCTAAGAGAGAAGTAGAGATGGCAGCAAATTAGTATTAGGCTCAAACACATGAATTGTGTTTTCGCTTTAAATAAATAATGACATACAACCACACGAATCCAAGCTTAAACCCTTTGGTCTTCACCATATGTGTATGTACGTACAGACGATGGTCTCATAGAATAATACAGCTTCCTGGATCACTGAGAAAACAAAGAACCATCAATATGAGAACAATTGTTGCGGTTATCAACGTTGATACCTCTTGGAAACTCTGTAGTGACTCAGAGCTAGATCAATCTTGAGCCAAAGTGGGCATGACCTTTGATTTAAGCTTGGACAACGAACTGATTACTTCTTTCCCTAGCATAGTTTGAACAAATACTATTATAAAAATCTGTAGTTTAACTGGAGTGGTTGAAGAGTGAATCCTCCCGTACTTCATATTCAGATAGCCAAACCAAATAGGCTACACCAAAGTACATAAACAACTTCAACAACTCCAGCTAAATCAATACAGAGAAATCTAATGCGCATTTTCCTCCACCTTCAAATCGATCATCAGCATACCTGGCTGATTTTGTATCACCATATTTTGACTACAGCTCCTTTCTCATGTGGAGATATCAAACACACACACACTTTAACACGTAAGTGTCTGCAATTTAGAAAGTTCAATTACATTAAGGCAAAAGAAAAGTTTATCTAAATTTGTCTTGTGTCGGTTGAGTGATCTCTTTGTAAAGTATTTCATTAAACGTACCAAAACTTTCAGATCTTTGGCTAATATTTCCGTACATTTTGCTTTGTTATTTCTGAAATAAAAATTCAAACACTATCATTAATTCAAAGAAGGACAAATCATATAATCAAGACGGAAATTAAAAGAATAAATGTTTCTGATCTGGAGCTTCAGGATACCTTTGCTTCCTAATCTGAAAGAAAATTTCCATAAGATCATCGACCTTACTGAACCCAGAGAGATAGATCCCAACTTCGTCCCACCCATCAGCAACACTTTTTTGCGAAAGACTTAATATTAGAAAAAGAACCAGAATCCTGCTCCAGTCACCAAAGACACTAAAAAAAAAATCGTTGCTTCATCTCAAGCTTCGTAGAAACTAAATTTAAAAGTTTCTATGAGAAGATGAAACGGAATCCAAAAACTGATCTAATAAAATCGAAAATTCTTAATCAAACGCAAAAGCTAAGGCTATAAGTCAGTAAAATTATTTGCTACCGTGATTTTTTTTTTAAAAGTGTACGATTGGAAGGATTAACCTGATTATTTCCACCGAAGAGAATGTACCTTTTATAGTGGTAGAAGTGGGTCGAAGAGTTAAGACGGTCGTTAATGTGATGATTCAATATTTTAATGCATTTCGTAACGGTTTGAAGAAAAAA